AAACTGAAGGGAGGAATCTATAGCTCGTGGGCCAATTATGGGCCCCTGAGATTTAAGTTGAGCTAACGTAATCATATGACAGAGAAATGCTCTCAGTGGATGTTATATAATAGTTTTTTTTTGTTGGTTTAATACATTTGGTGTAATCCAAAAATAATAGAAATGTGCTTGGAGGAGTCACATTTTGGGGGGAAAACAAATACTGTGCACATTGCAGTGTGGTGTAACGACTGCAACACACACACACACACACGCGCACGCACACATACACACAAAATCAGAACGCCCCAAATAAAGCAGAGTCAGCATAAAAAAAAAAAAAAAAAAATCACTGAGTTGAGGAATGTTCGGATTGTGGTCCATTTACAGAGGTTACATTAAATTCCGTTTAAAGTTGAATAAAACCTGGATGGAAATACTTTCCTACACCTGCTGATCATATTTCAAAATATTCTTTTAATGGACAAAAAAAAAAAAAAATCACCAACCCTTGATTGAAATTCAGTCACTTTTTTGTTTAAGATTCGCACACACATACACACACACGCACACTGAAGACGTACAATCCTCACTGACCCAGTAAAAGAAGCTGTCCGCTCTCCATGGTGCTGAAGCCCGCTCGTCCCATCTTTCAGCAGGTTTCCCTCCACCACCAAAGCCGGCGGAGACGACAACCCGGAGCGACTTGCGAGTACCTGAGCTGAGCGGGAAAGAGAGGAAGAAGAGGCGGGGGGGGAGAGAGAGAGAGAGTGGAGGTGGGGGGAATCCCTCCCCTCAAATCCTCACAGCTGCACCCCTCCAAAATAAATGCATACAAAACATGGAAAAAAATGACATTTGATCCAATGCACTAAAGACGAAATGTGACAAAAAGTGAAGTCATCTGGTACGCGTCACTCCACATCCCCGCAGTGGCTCTCCACTGGGCTGCAGGTTGCGCTACCAGTGAGGTGTGACCATGAGAACGCCCCCACCCACCCCCCCCGCAAAGCTGCCCCCACCCCACCCTCCACCCGAGGCTGCCGAAGGGTCCGCCTTCACCTCTGCGCCTGCACAAAAGTGCACTGGAGCTTTGACGTTCGACTCGGAGCGAGTCAAGGAGACAAACGGCGATTTTGCAAGGCAAGTCTGGCGTCCCCACTTTGATGCGACTGAGCTGTTGTTCAAGGTGGTTTATGAGACAAAAGTGGTTTTCTTTTTGGGGTGGGGTTGTGATAGTGTCAGGCTGGGGCGAGAGGGGTAGGTGGCGCCAACCCCCCCCCCCCATTGACGTATACTGCGGATCCTCACAGGACCCAGGCACTTTTTCATCAGCACCCTGAGAGTACAACTGAATTATTCAGAAGGCTTTTGTTGGAATGTCGATTATTTTCCAAAGTTTTATTTTTGTATTTTTTGTGTAAAAAGTCTGCTTGGAAAATTCTATCGCCTATTTTTCCCCCACACTATTTATGACTGTGATTCTGGATGAATGTTTTTTTTTTTAAGCATATTCGGGAACTTATGTGATGTAAGCGGACACGCATTGAAAACAGTCAAAGTTGTCACCTTCGAGAATCTAGTGGTGGGCAAACTACGACCCGAGGGCCGGATTCGGCCCGTTGGTCTTTTTAATCGAAGATTTGTCCACAATTGAGGTTCGATGTGAATGATTGCTTTCATTTCATTTGGACTTGTAATGACAGGCATTTCAACGGGAGGTAGCGCAGTGACTTGAAATTGCAGAGCACAGGGAGGGGAGGGGGAGAGGGAGATGGGCGGGGGGTGGTTTATTTTGTCCAATTAAAAAAACATACTTTATACTTTTGGTGTTTATATTTTTCAGTTTTTAAAAAGGGCGTTTGTTAAAAAGCATCATTTTATTTTTCACTAATGAAGGGTTCGGGGAATGTGCATATGAACCACTGCTCTAGATGCTTGAAGCATAATTAATTCAAATGTTGAAATGGATTATTATAAAATTATTTTGTAGAATTGCAGATTTCTTGCTGTTACATAAGTGGACGTAAGTGGAAAAAAAAAAAAGGCAAGCAAAGCTGATGCTTTCAGGCCACCTGTTCCACTGCCATTTATTGGTACACATACTATAAAACAGTATTAAAGGAGTCGGGTAACAACCAAGTCATCTTCGCTTAAAGTTCAACAGTACACTACAAATACAAAAAAAAAAAAAAAAAAAAAAAAACAAGAGCACATACACACATTAGGGTTGGTTGGAGAGGTACAGTATAAAAAAAAGCCTCTAACAGACAATTCAACTACACATCATTTTTTTAATATGTTCATTTATTTATATATATATGTATCTCTGTATAAATAACTCTTGAATTTGGCATTGAGACTTGCTCAAATAAGTTAAAACAATCCTAGCAGACATTGAGTGGCACGTTTGTCAAGCCAAAGAATAAAAGCACTTTTTTTTTCTCGCCTTAGGGGGAGGTCATTCCTCTGCTCCGTACCAATTAGACGGAAAACAAAAATAAAAGAGAGAGAAAAAAAAAAGACTGATCGTCGTTCACCACATGTGACGACGTCACGATGATGTCATGAGGATTTGGGTGGCCATTTTTGTAGTTTCTTTCCCCCCCTACCGCCTCCGCTTGGCATTACAGCTGAAGTGAATCATTTCACATTATGGGTGGTCAAACTTTTGTCCTCTGTAGTAACGTTTAATTTTAAAAATGCACGTGTAGATTAGGTAAAAAAAAAAAGAAAAAAAAGAAAAAAGGGAAAAAACTGTTAAAATGTGTCTGTAAAAATTGTTTGGATCGGATGTAGGTTAAAAAGAAAAGTGTTTAAAAAATATATTTTCTTGTAATTGTTTTAATACTTTTACGTTTTCCAATTACAATGAACAAATTATCGAATGTGATGAAAACACAAATAAATAAATATCAATAAATACATTTCATTGAACAATATTTTTGAGGAAAAAGAAATGAACTAAACGAACGAACGCAAAACTCTTGATACTCAAATGTCAAAGCTGAAAAGAAAGAACAGACTTTGCCCACGCCTGTTTTACTTGTTAAAAACAACTTTGCAGAGGTGGAAAATCGCTAAAACATTTTCAAATGTAAATATTTCAGGCAACACAATTGGCTCTCTTTGGCAGTAAAATCATATTAATAAGAAAGGATTTTTTTGCCGAATGCTTCCATACAATTGAATTAAAAAATGCTCATGACAGAACCAGCCATTTCCAGACCCTTTTTAAAAAACCACAAACCTTGAAAAAAAAAAAAAAAAAGTACCTGGGACTGAATGTGGAGTCTGAAAAGACATAAATATGTCTTTGAGAGTGAGTAATGATAATTAATTGTCTGGAATTGATCTTGTGTTTGGGAGCATCGATTGGTGAAAAAAAACAAACAAACAAAAAAAAAACACTGACAAGTTTTCATTGAGGTGGAACATCACCACTGCGGATTTTTTTTTTTTTTTTTGGTCAGACCGTGCTACGTCAACAAAATATGATTAAAAAAAATTGCGTAAGAAATCAAGTGTGGTTGTACAAACAGTGCTACATTCCAATCATGTCACCTACAAACAAAGTGTTTATGTGCACAGTTTCAAAGCTAAATGGTGGGCTACAGTGTGTTTGTGTGTGTGTGTGTGGGGGGAGGGGGGGGGGTCAGACGCTCACACCAGTGTGGCAGGTCGGCGCTCCATCTCCTCCTCCAACTTGGCCATCTGCAGCATGTCCTTTGCCTTTCACAGCAGGCAAACAAAGCATCAAGAAAATATTCGAGGACGGCACGCACACAAATCCGTTCACGAAGCATTTAATGGATATGAAAAGTCGACGTCCACCTGTTCAAATGCCAGCTTTTTGTGTGATCAAAAGTGAGACCGGGATAAGTTACGTTCAATTCCCCCCCAGTTACCCCCTGCTGGGCCACTTGAACGAAAGCAGCTCTTTCGCCAGATGGCTGCTTTGCTTCGTTTCTTAAAGTCTTCAATTGGCAATAAAAACACCCCATGAGCACCTTGCAGTGAGCACGTGGCCGTGAAATACACGCGAAAACCTTTAAAACTACCGTTGGAAGCGAGCGGCCTTGAGGGCATTTTAAAGACTTAAAAAAAATAAATAAATAAGATGAAGAATGAAAGAAACAAAAGTGTGCCGTGGTAAAAAAAAAAAAAAAAACATGGAGGAGGTTCAAACCTTTTTGTTTGTTTGCATGGTGTGATGCCAAAAGCTGTGCCGGGAGAAGCAAATCATATTAAAAACAACCTAAAATGAACATATGCGTACGCATGGAGACACACGTGGAGGGATGGAGCTGAATGAGTAATAGAGGCGGGTCATTCATTTAGGGAGGTGTGCCTAATGAAATGTCTGGTGAATGTTTGTCATTTTTTATTTATTTATTTTTTTTGGAGGGGGGGGAAAAATGTGAGACGTCATGTTTTGTTGCACCTGCTCATTGAACTTGTCCAGTTTCTCCACCTGCTCTCTCTGGTTCTTTTCCAGCTGCTCCATTTCCTTCTGGTGCTTCATGGCCAACTAACGCGCACAAAAACGTACAGCGTTAACCTCTTTACGAGCACACACGCACACGTGCGTTTCCTTGTTGGCATACGCACCCTCTTCCTCTCATCCATGAACTTCTTGGTGTTGCTGCTGTTCAACTCTCGCACTCTCCTGCGCGTCACAAAACAAAATGGCGTCGGCGCACTTTAAAAATGGATGACACGCAGAGTGTTATTTACGAGTCGGGTTGCGCGACGGGGACTGAATGTCGCACAGTAAACAGTACGTCCTTGGACACAGAGTCGGCGGACCCTGAGAAGATGCGGGCGATCCGACACGCATGACAATATCCAACACTCCATCGTGTTTTTTGTGTGTGTGTGTGTGTTGCACCTTTCCCTCTCCGCTTTGTTTTTGATGCTTTTGTCCTGGCTGATGGCTTTGCTGTTCTCCATGGACATCTTAGCCTGGTTGGCTCGCATCTCTTTGCTCTGCCTGCGTGACGACAACAAACGGGGAAAAATGACTCCGAACTGGAGGGTCATACGCAGCACAGACACACAAGAGTGGATTTTAAAGCGCGCCTCACCGCTCGTGTATGAGTTTGAGCTGTCCGGTCTGCTGCTCCTGCACGCTACTCAGCAGCTTCTTGAGGTGCTCGCACTGCTGCGCGACGTGCGCGTCCTTCATCTCCTGCTCTTCGCTGCCGTGGCCGCTGATCAGCTCCGACCATTCCTTGGTGTGTTGCGCCGTCACGTCCTTCACCTACCGCGCATACGCAACGGTTCAGGACCGCGACGGGGGCCAAAAGGCGGACGTTTGGGGGTGAAGGTTTGCACCTTGGCTTTGTGATCGGTGACCAGCGTTTGGATCTTGCCTTCGGTTTCCTTCTTCAGTTCATGGCAATTGTTTTCCCTGATGAACGACGCAACGCGCGTGGGTCACCATAGTGGCTGAGCGATTCATGAGGTACACCTGTGCACTTTCGTCAATGAAGACGACGACTCACTTTTGATCGATGCGGTCAGAGAAATGTGACGGAAATGCAGACTTTCAAATTAGTCGGCACAATCAATTAGTGTCAGGAAAAAAATAGTTTTCTCCTCGTGAGGTTTGGTTAAAAAAACAAAAAAACAAATCAATTCGTTGATGTCTTTCAAATTACACTGACTATCATTAGCATCGACCGTTTGGGGAAATCGGAGCAAAACAATAATTTGGAATGCAGCGTAGGTCTCCGTTTTCTCTTTGTTGTGTGTGTTAAAAAAAATAATAAATAATAATAAAAAATCGCTGGGAGCGCAGCAGCTGTTTTACCCTCGTTTTTTGATGGCTTTCTCCAGCAATTTCTCCAGCGTGCTCTTCTCCTTGTCGTGCGTTGACGCCATCTTGTCCACCTGCGTGCCGTGGGATTTCTGCGTCACGTTTTGATCCTGTAAAGATCCATAAAAAAAAAAAAAAAAAAAACAAAAAAAAACACACATTCAGTTGCGATCGAAGGAGAAAGCATTGGAGGACTGCGTCACTCACCTTCAAGTGCTTCTTTTTTAAGGCGCTGAGCTCCTTTTGTTGCTTTTTTATGAGTTTAATATACGTCTGCCGCGGAAGAGACGCACATGACTTCACTAATCACGTGAAAAAAAAAAAAAAATACAAAAAGGCTTCTTTAAACGTACCTTCATTTGCTTCAAGTCGTCAATGCTGACATTAGGTACAAGCGCGTTACCTGCAACAGTGCGGGACAACATAAAATGACGCCATGCGTGTTTTCAAAGAATGCACGTGTGTGTATGTGTAAGGCCCACGGACCCTTCTTGATCTCCGCCGTGTTATTCTGGGCAGCGTTGGAGGTCTGAGCGAGCTCCGAGCTGCTCTGCGGCGTCACGCTGGCCTTCACCGTATCCCCTTTGCCCTTTCCCTTTTTGTCATTCTTGGAACTTCCGCTCGGGACGTCGGCGATGTCGTTCTGAAAACGGGACGCGCGTGCAAGAGTTCGTTTTCACGACGGCGGGCGGCGTATCGTTGATTCCGTGCGTGAAGGTACCGTGTCAATGCCGAGGGCTTTCATCTGGTCGGCTCTTTTCTCCGCGATGGTCAGAAACTTCTTCGGGTCGGACAGAGCGTCGACGATAGCTGCAAAATGGGATTGAAATACGTAAAGGCTCAACAGATCACCTCCGCCGAGGCAAACATGTTTTGTCATCCCGGCTCACAACTTGAATTGACTTTTTTGAATCCAAAGGAAAATGCATAAAATATTACAGGCCCCCTCCCACCCCCAAAAAAAGGAAAAATAATGTGGATAAAGCTGTACTACATAAAATACACGGGAATTGGATACATCTTTTAGTTTATTTTATCTTCTATGATGCTGGAGCTGTTGTGAAAGTGCTAAATAAATAAGTTGTTCTATCGTGTGTATCCCGATAGAGAGAAGCATTGAAGTTTAATGAACATAAAGGTGTAATAGAGGGCAGGAAACTATAATATAAAACTAAAATGATTTTAACTGTGTCAAACTGTAATGGAACTATCCAAAAAAATATATATATATATATAAAAAGCAACCCTTCCCTTTATGATCCACTACAAGTGTGGGTGAAAACACAATAAGGGTTTGGCAGAAGTACAAAAAGAAAAGCAATCACTAAACAATTACGCACAAAGTGATTCGAGCATCACAGCCCCCCCCCCCAGAAGGAGGAGGCGTGATGGAGCGCGGTCATTTTCCCTGCTCCCCAACCCTTTGGCTTCCTTTAATGACAACTGCAAATGTCTTCTCATTTGCATGTTTAAAGCCTTTGTGGCACACAACGTTCCCCCCGATGGCTTCTTATAAACCGAGCGGCGTGAAATCAACCTGCTGTATTTTTGTTTGACTCACCCCCGAAGCCGTCGGGCACGTAGGTTTTGAGGATGATCTGGCAGAAGATGGTGGGCAGCGAGAGGGGCTTGTTGCCTTCGTTCCGCAGCGAGATGTGACGGTAGCCGGCCTGCAGGCCGTCCAGCGGCAGGATGCGCTGGCCGATCAACTTGTTGTTGTCGTCGTACACGGCCAGGCGCAGCACCGCCAGATCCGGCAAGATCACCTGCGAGGGAATGCGACAAGTCACCGAAAGGGCATTTTGCATTTTCCATGGCTTCTTTATCGGTGTATTTTTCCAGATGAAGAGGATGTTGTGATGCTAACCATAAAACGGCAAAAAAAAAAAAAAAAAGCTACTGACATTCAATTCGAGCCATGCGGCGAGTCAGCGCTGCTCACGGCATGAGTAATTGTTTTATATCCGTCGTGCACTTTTTTTTTTTTTTTTTAAATACGGACCTAATTCATCCTGCCCCACAAAAAATGCGAATGAATTGATAAAAGCCACCCGACATATATTTCTTGTGTTCCACCCGAAGCAAGCATGATCATCTGCAATAGCGAATCCTCACTCGAGATGAATGAAGGGATACCAAGCGGGGCGTGGCGCCGCCCCGCCTGCTTTGTGACTCATCCTGCGAGTCACGTACGCACGCCGGCGGAGCTTTTTCCAAGGCGTTTGCCGCTTCCCGCTGGCCGCGTGCCTGCACGTGACAAAAGGAATCTTGCCGGCAGCCTGCGACGCCCCTCGCTGATGGTGCTGAATGTGTGTGCGTGTGTACAGTAATTTGGCGTGCGTGCATGTGTGTGTGTGTGTGTAGTTTTGCATGGGGCTGTGATTGATGGTGTGAAATAAAGGGGAGCTGGAGTCACAGTCACGGCTGAGGGACTTCTCATTGTGCTGAGAGTAGCAATATTTCTCTCCGACGCTCTCACACTCACTCGCACATTTGCACGCCCGCATGTTCACGGCAACCTGTCACTGCCCTGCAGTGTCAACTATGCATTCATGATGTTTTTCATATATAATAAATAGCGCTGTCAGTTTAACACGTTATTATCGGCGTTAATTTGACAATTTTAACTCTATTAATTTTTTTTTAATCGCGAAATTAATGCGGCGCCACGTCACGGATGTTACGTTGCTCTAAAATAATAAAATGTGCTCCAAGTTTGAATAACTGCTCCAAGTGAAAAATGTTCATGTAAAATTGAAAGTCGAAATTGTTGTTTCAGTAAATATTTGCATTTTGCGCAAAGAAAACTGATCGACGAGTCCATGTTGATGACAGCATTAAAATGGGAAAAATAGGAGAAAAAGAAATCAAACGAAATTTAGAATAGATAAAAATCTGCGATTAATTACGGGTAATTCTGAGTTAACTATGAAATTATACATTTGATCGCGATTAAACATTTTAATCGTTTGACAGCACTAATAATAAATTATTAGACGATTTTCATGAGCATACGCCTGGTCGATAACGGGTGACGTTTCTTTTTTCTATGCACCGTAGAGGGAAAATCAATCAGGCGTACCTTTCGAAAAACAAACGGTTCCTCGTTGTAGGCGGGATTGAGCCCGTTGTTCATCACCATGCGGGTGCGAAACTCTTTGCGTATGGTGTCGGTCGGCAGACCGTACATGTCCACCTCCACGTATGTGCCGATCTTCTTATCTGACAGGAACTGGCCCGAGAACACCTGCATTGGGAAGGGCAAAGGAGTGTCCCATGTCGGCTACACTGGCATCGATTTTTGTACACATTAAGAAGAAGGAGCATAAATTATTTAGCTTTGTTCGGGTACATTTTTGATGCGAGCTCTTTCTTTGAATCTCATTTGAGGATGCCTAATGTTGTGACCCGTGAGTGTATACGTTGGAACGATGCAAAAAGCCACACACGAGATCACGTTTGCTGGCTCACCTGTACACTGCACGTGGCGGCGATGACGCCATCTACCGGCGTCTCTGAGAAGGGATCAAACATCCGGTCTGACCGCCGCATGAAGTCGGGCTTCAGCAGGTACCTGATGCGCACAAGAATGGGGACAAAGAAAATCGGTGAAATCCTATTTTTCACTTTCACTGGATGTCTTTCTAATAGATCCCAAGGGGAGACTGTCGTGTGGCCCCGTGTCCCATTAGGCATAACGGCTGTTTGGCAAAAGCCCCACGACCTCCTTGTATATGACACATATTACATTTCCAGCATTAGCGGTGAAGTCTGAGTCCTCGGGGTGAGTGGGGGCGGTGGTTCAGAGGAGGGGATAGACAGATGACATCTCCCAAAACCCACTTACAGGCCCCGGGGAGCACGAGGCGGTGGCTCCAGTCGCCAACGGCAACCGCTAATGAGATGTGACAAGCTTTAAGTGATGAGCGAGAGAGAGAGAGGAAGGAGATGCTCTCACCCGCAGGAGCCGTTGTACTCAAACTTTCCCTGGTTCAGCTGCATGGCCAGATCTGAGGAGGAGGAGGAGGAGGGAAAACACACAGAAAAATCAAAAGCATAGCAACGGCTTACAGTGCTCATCCTCTCGTGCCAATGCCTCTGGCCTCGCACATGGCCAGCTGCGGGAGACGCCATATGTTCAATGGTCCTTTAGCCTCGGGCGGCGGGGCAACAGCTGCTTTACAACAGGCTGGCGCCCGCGATAAGGGCGTGCGGCGAAGTGCAGTGTGGCAAAAGAGAGACCGCCGCTCGTCTTTTCTGTCCATTTTTGAAAGCGCTTTGCTCATTTGCGTTGCCAGGTACGGACAAAAATATGTCAAACTCGAGGCACGGGGGCCCAGATCTGGCCCGCCACATCATTCTATGTGGCCCTCCAAAGCAAATTCATGTTTCACGCTAAGTAACAAATATGCAAATTGTCTTCACTTTTAAAAACATTGATATATTGCAAGCATTTCTTTGTTTCCAGACCCTTTAAAAAAAAAATGTAGCATTAGATCAAACCGTTTACTGACCAAGGCATATAACATTTTCCATGCTCATTACTTCCAATGGAATAAATTGTTCAAAAAAAAAAAAAACCCGAAAAAATGTTAAAGTGAGTGTGCACACATCTTCACACGCACGCATCACAGCACAGTTGCGGCCTTTTGGACTCTTTGAAACATTTTGTCCATTCCGTGTCTTTAATCAAGAGAGCGTGTATATATAGAACCTGTGTTTCTGTGTGTGTGTGTGTGTGTGTGTGTGTGTGTGTGTGTGTGTGTGTGTGTGTGTGTGTGAGGTCGACGGGGGCCCGGCGTGGCGTGATGCGGTACCTGGGGTCTGAAAGTTGAGCGAGACCATCTGGCAGCCGGCGTTCCAGAAGATCTGAGGCATGTAATTACTGGAGTCCACTCGGCCCCCTTTGGGGTAGATACGGCTCATCTGACGCTTGTTGTAGCTGTGCTCGGGCTCAGGAACATTCCGACAAAGACGCAGCGTGTATGTGCATGGGTGCGTGTACATGTGTGTGCGCACGGGCGCGTGTGTGCATCGCAGAACTATTTTTAGTGTGAACAGCTTGGGTCAAGCTGTCCCTTTGGAGGAAGACGGCGTCGTGCGGCAATATGGGAGGCCAAGCAAACAAAGTTTACATTTTATCCAACAGCAAAAAGCATCACAAAAACCGACGGATTGTTTGAGGATCCAAATTCACTTAATTTGTCCCCAAATTATAATTTACTGACAACACATAATGTACCTTTGCTCATCTAATTCTATGCTTGTGACATAGAGCAGAACAAAGAAATGCTCTTTCACGAGATGGCAGATACAACTTTTGTATCCATACGCTGCCACTCATCCAATGAAATAATAGTTAACTCACAAATGGATGTGAATGCAAAGCTAAGCGGACAAGCATTCTTTCCTTTTTTTTTGGGGGGGGGGGTCTATGTAAAGTTTGGGAAACACTGTCCCAGAATCCAAAGGATACTTGACAAATTCGATGGCGTTGGTCTTCAAGTAGCCGAGGCCCACCGACTCGTTGAAAGACGACATGTTGTGGTGGATGTTTTTCTCTAAAGAGCAAAGTCACAAGGTCAATGGCAGTTTTCAAAAGAACAACTCATATTGAAACAAACATTGTGGTTGCCCGATACAGCCGCGCGAATCCACTTCATGACAATTTCACATTTTTATTCTCCTCTACACATCTAATAGAAGTCCACTTGAATATAAAAAAAAAAAAATATCTGCCATCAAACATTCTTTCATCCAAAGAAAACAAGCATGGTCCATTTTAAGAGATAAACACAAACTCACCCTCAGCGACATCAAAACTCTGGAATTTGACGGGCTGCGCGTAGTTGACCATGGCAGAGAGGTACGGGTGGATGTTTGTGGTGGCGCCCACGTATGTGTACTGTGCGATCAGAGCCTCCTCCAAATCCTCGGAGCCTTCGCCGCCCTGATTAAAAAAAAACACAAACCGGATCAGGCCCATGTGCTGCCGGTCCAGATGTGGGGGATGCCAAACACGAACCTTCTTGTTGTTGTCCGGGTCAGATGCTTCAGAGATATCTGTCGTGTCGGCGACTTCTGTAGCTTCGGAGATCTCGGTCGTCTCGTCTTCAGGTACCTGGACCACAATGGGACGGTATGAAGCAACATAGTGGTGGAGGTCGTCTCGTAAAAGTGCATTCGTCTCACCTTTTTGATACTGTTGCTGCGCTCCTCGGCTTTCTTGGCGCTCACGGCGTTAGGTTGAGAGTCACTGTTGGCCTCTTTGTCACTGGCCGCCTCCGAAAGGCTGCTCGGTGCCTCTGAGGTCACGTCCTTATCTTCAGGCTCCTTTTCTCCTGCGCAGATTGTCATCATATGTTGGGTGCGGACGGACAAAAGCGGCAACTCGAGCGACAATCATTTCTCATTTTGCGGCCATATTGTCATTAGAGCGCCCTCTGCTGTCGAATGAAATTGACATTGAAGTGCAACCGTTTTCCACGTCGTCCTCGTTCTCCTCTCCCATGATGATGGCTGTGGTGTTGGTCTCTCCCGCCTCCATGTGCTTCTTGAAGGCCTCCAGTTGCTCTGGATGACACGCAACAAAACTCGTTAAAACCACCGAATGGCTCGGGAATGAAGATGAAGACACATTAGACAGGCGGTGTACTTACTCTGCTCCACTTCCGGTTTCAAGCGTTTGTTTTTGATGAGGATTTTTCGTTTGAGGTCATTGGGCGAGGGTAAAGGACGGCCGGATTCGATCTGCAAAAAAGGAACGGTCATACTGTGGAATTGGAGCGAGTAGCTGAAGTGTTTCGGGAGGAAGGAGACGTTACCGGAAAGTTGTCCAGCGGCAGCCTCTGGAGAAAGTCACCAAAGATTTCCTCGCAATACTTAGCCATTTTGTACTGTTGCGGTTTACTGGACACACACATACGCAGATGTGCTACACACACAAAAAAAAGCCTCGAGGCTGTAATTTTCTGAGAAAGGTGCATCGACAAAGTATTGAGCAAAGGCCGTGAACCGTGTGTGTGACACATAGTGACAATTGTACGCCACGTCAAAACACGTCATCGCAACAGTGCAAAATACCTGCAGTGGTTCTCAAAGGATAAAATAACAGGAAACTCGGAGGTGACAAAAGCTGTGTCCTTGATGGCTTGGATGACATCCTGCGTGGAATCACGGCAGATGTAGTAACCAATATTTTCCACAAGAGGGTGCCACCACCCCATGCAAAAGTGTTCCCGAAAACCGTTCACCTTGAACAGGATGTCGGTGCACATGGCCTTGCCGTGAGTGATGATGGGCTCCTGGTCCTCTCCTTTGCCATCCCAGCAATCCAGCTCAACACATCTGAAGCCCACAATCAACACCTGCATACCGAGTCTCTCATGTGGATTCACGTGCTGAATAAACTACCTGCATCCTGAGAGCAGGGCCTGGCGATACATCTCCACTGACGACTTGCCGCCAAACTGTCGGCCTGTCAGGTAGGAGTTGTGGGACGAGCTGATAAAGTAGTGGGCCAGTGGCTGGTCCATGTCCTGGTACAGCTCCAGGCGGTCCAGGAACACCGGCGCGTTCTCGTCCGACATCAGGTAGCGGCAGAAACCGTCGCTGGACATGCGGCCTGGACAGGATTGAAATGGATGAGATTTCATAAATTGATTGATTAGTACAAATGTCATGTTACATTATTAAGTTGCTTGTGCAGTAATGGGAATCATTTCTCACTGTTGTGGTGTACCACTACACAATCAGCGACGACAATAAAATATACTTTAAAAAAAAATTAAACGTCTTAATTTGAATAGAAATTTTGATTTAAAAAATGACTTTTTTTCAACTAATTGTCTGTCTGCGCCGTTCTTGCCAACAATGTGGCACAACTAGTTGTAGTTTCTTTTAAGCACTGACAGATGGCAGCAGAGGCCCACAGAACTCTTGCTTCCGGTTTCATCCCTCCTCCTCCTCTCTCACCTTTCTTCTTTAGCTCTTCGTCCCGTTCATATTTCTCAATGATCTGCGTGGCTCTCTTGGGATCGTAGAAGGGGAAGAGGATCTCGTTGAGCCGGGGGTCCCGCTGGTTCTGGGGAGCAAGCGTCAAAATGAGAAAAGGAAACGCTTAAAAAAAAAAGTTGCACGTCAGGGATGATAACTTAAACGTGACGCCAAATCACAAATAGATGCTCTCTTGGATCATGTGGGATGCAGTGGCCACAGAAACACAACACAGCCAGCGGGAAGCAACAGGATGGAAACGTCTACCCTCCCGTTGCCGTGGCAACACCCATCAGACACTGGCTTAGGCTGAAGCAGGAGGGAGTGGGGACGGTGAGGGGCTGGGAGGGTGTGAGGGGGCTGAGGGATGGCATGCTGAGTTGGCGTTGAAAGAAGTCGCCCTTGGAATTGAAATAGTCTCCTTAATGGAGTCCTACTGGAGACACTGAGGGTGGTGAAGGCAAGGCAAACACACGGGCGCTCACACAAACGAGCCAACTCTCTCAGATAGACACACCCACGCGGAGAGAGAAAAATAAACAAATAAAGCGCTTACTTCATTGAGAAAGCTGACTAACTGGTCTACTGTTAAATAATCACTTTTGCTCCCATTGCTGCAAAGGAATCGATTAGAAAAGAGAAAACAAAAAAAAAATGTTAGGCCTCTGGAAATGGTCAGTCGTTCACGCAGCAGGCAGTCCATTCACATGATTCGGAACAACAAGCTCTTAAGTTTTTTTTTTTTTTTGTGGGGACTAAGCGTCCCCGGTGAAAATTTCGTTAGGTCGAAGATCATTAAATGCTTTGAGAACTGGAGAAGTGGGTTAGAGGCTTTCGTTAGTGCGGCAGGCACAGCGACAATGTTTGTCACAAATTATTCGCGAGAGGATGCAGCAGTCGGCGGGTAAGCTAACGGCGATTCTCGTTTGGCGAAGCTAACGTGAATCCGACGCGGCGCAAGGGCACTACGTCTTGTGTTCATTTTCAAGATTAAAAAAATGAGTTACACTGGAACCTCTGAAGTCAACTTGTCAAAGAGAAAATAAAATGCCCGTTGAGATTTGTCCACAACAATTTCCAAGTACACAAAGTGCAGTCCAACGTCTTAAAAAGAAGGAAGACGGATTCGCACATCTTTTTGAAGAGGTCCTCTAAATCCGTGCGAGGGCAGATCTTCTGCGTGAGCGCGTAGAAAATGTCAAAGGTGAACACCGAGGGTTCGATCTCGTCATTCTGTGGGCGAAATGAAAAAAAAAAAATTTCGTCATCCATTCAAGCATCAGCTGCATGTTGCCGCATGAGAGAGCCCACCTTGCCGCTGGGAAGGCCCAAATCTTTCAGAGCCTGGAAGATGCCCTTCTCCGTCTTGCCTGACGCAAACGTCCGTGTAATCCTTGAGTTGGAGGGGAAAAAAAAAAGAGTGAGTGGCATAAAAATGAGTCCCGGCCTCAGTGCCAATTGGCTCTTACCCTCTCACGGGAATCTTGCCGTTAACGTTGGTCAGGACGCACATTTTCATCCAGCTGAGACAAGGGCACACAGACGTTTGACACGTTTAGTCGATGACCTGCACGCCGGTCGGCTGCCGGTTACACTCACTGCTTCTTTAGGCAAGTCATCGGACACACGTTGTTGGCCTTGAAGTTGTGAATCACCGACCTCAACCCCTCCGTCCATTTCTGGACAAACAAACAGGAGCGAGCAGCATATTAGGAAAGTCGCGTCGGCAAAACAAAGTAGGCTTACATCGGGCATGACAGCAAGCAGAATATCATGCTAACCCCATAGACACCAATCTCAGAGCGGAACCGATCTCTCGAGCCACACCAGACGATGCTACAGGCAAGTTTGAACCTTCCAATAAAATTCATTAAAGTTATGATAAGATGTCACACTTTATGAATTGGAGATGTACGGAAGTTGAGTGGGGGATACCTGCTGTGCCTACAGCTCTCTACCGCATGCCTGACATCAAGATCAAGCCATTAAGCAAGATGACACTAGCTCTTTATGGTGTGTGTGCACACACGCGCGCATGTGTGTTGATGTAAATAACTCTATCACGTCTTGAGGTCTGCTACGTGCATGCCGGAAGGTGCTGATGGTGTCTCGGTGAGTGTGTGTGTGAAAGAGGAAACCTGTGGGCAAACACGGTGCGAGCGTGCATGTGTGTGTGTTGATGAATAAATATCGGGTCACCCCGTGGCGGCAAACACTGCAGAGGGTAAACATCCTTGATAAAACCACACACGGCCTCTTTTACGGCTGGAATGGACCGTTTCTAGGTAATTATTACTTTTGTGACTTTTCAAGATTAAAAAAAAAACAAACTGTTTTATTCAAATGACAACACTGTGGATGATTTTAGGAATTAACATCAATTGTGATGTCAAATTTGCTCGCTTGGCTGAGAATTCTTGCCATCGTCGCGATGCTCAAATCAACTTTTGTCTGTTTGCAGGTTGCGTGAGATATAGCAGCAAGCGGCTGTCTTGAATACGGAAGCAAAATTCTGCGTTTTTTTTAAAGCGAGTTTAGCTGCCTTATCAACTATTTGCATGTTGCAAAGTTGTTTTTATTCTTACCGAGTTCAGTGAGAAATAGCGGCAAGCAACACATTCTTGAAAACAAGCTTGGTTCTGTAACAAACTCACCCTGGCCGTGTCTGGGTTCTCCGCCACCATGAACATGAAGCTGAGGTTAACCAAGTCGGCGCCGCTGCAAATGCAGATGATGCAGCCCTCCAAGTCCGCCTCCGTCTTGCCCATGGCCTCGAACGACGACAGGATCTTTGGGTCCTGGCATGGAGAGAAGAACCATTTCGTATGTAAGATGGTATCAAAATCAGCGGAAATCGAATTTTTCTTTTTTCATTTCTAAAAAACTGACTCAGTATAGCAACAAGGTATTTGTACTTTACTTCCCACCACTGCACAACACACCCAATCACGTGCTCTATATGAAATTGTGTTCAAGTGTACGTGCGTGTGTGTGTGTGTGTTTAGGGTGAAAGCGAGGCACCTAGCAACAGGCAGAGCGAGGCCAGCATATTTGCAAACTAAGTGCCATTCGTCTCCCGCGTGGCTCATTGCATTATGTGTGCTTGTGTAAGTAATAACGTTAGCCTCGCAGGAGAAGCCCTCTCATCGCCACTGTGTGTGTGTGTGTGTGTGTGTGTGTGTGTGTGTGTGTGTGTGTGTGTGTGTGTGTGAGAGCGAGCCTCACACAGCACAGCAACAAGAGGAGCCAATATCTGGCCACAGCATCTTGATAGGTGGCCTTACATGCACGCACGCACGCATGCATGCATGCACCCCCCCCCCCTCTTGTATACACTTTAGGATCCTTTAGAATGGTGCAAATGATTCAATTTCCCTCAACAATGTCAGCACACCTGTGTCGTGCAGGTGGGCAACTTGATGGCTTGCTTCTTAATTCTACGTTATGGGGGGCATACACGCACACACACACTGTTATTGATATTTAATATGTACACCACACATTTATCTCTCCTTTAGTTTGTCCTACATTTGCACCTCTATCTTCCTCCATGTCATCAAAAATAAAGAAAGCAAGCTGGCTTCCAACATGACAAATTGCCAGACTATTACGAGTGGATGTCTATTTCGACCTAGTTCTCATATCGTGGCATAATGAATTCTGTGAGAGGAACAGTGTCTTCTCAGCGTCCGCTTTTGACCCGAACGTGCAAACTCCTTAACCCGGTGCATCAAAAATAAAAGCGCAGCTCTCGACATAAAAGAATAATATCCGTGTTCGGCTTTTTCGTCACTGTGGGAGGGGCTTTGGTGGCGTGCGCGCTTTTTCTCACCCTGGGGACGGCGCCGACACGGATACTGTTGATGAGGGAGCACTCCAGCACCTGGCCCTCCTGCGGGGAAGACGAGGAAGTGGCGAGGAAAGGTAATGACAATTAATGAGCAAGGAACCAGACATGTGTTTGTCTTAAATATTCATCCGACAGGAGCGATGTGACTGAGGGTCACGTTAACCCGAGCGCAGCTGACACCTCCAGCAAAAAGAGACTCTTATCAAGGCTACATAAAAGCTTCATTTGTGGATTTTACGTAGATGCTCGCCAGAGTTAGTACCTTTCCTTCGCTTTTCCAGGTGATAAAGAAGCCATACTCGTCCACTTTAACCTGACAATTGGGTTCAAAGATGTACGGGTCCTGAACAGAGGCAAAATAGTTCGTTCATCAATCCATCAGTGTTTAGGTTGAGTGTGTATATGTTCTCTCCCAATCGTGTAGATAGATGTTCACCTATTGTGGGTGGGCCTGGAACACAACTGTCAAAAAGTATATAAACAGGTTGCTGACGGGCTCACACATAATAACAAACGTTAACTCTCTAAAGCATCAGTCACTCAGCGGGGTGTGTCGCTTGTGGGAGAAAAGAAAAAAAAAATCCATGCTGTTTAGCATATTTGCTTGAGCGTGTGTGCGCGCGTGGGGGTGGAATTGGCGAACGCTATTTAAAATCAAGACAAGACTATCGCCTGCAGGCTTTCTAGTTTCCGAAATGCCGACTGTTTATTCACTCCAATTCACACGTAAAAATACAGACAAGGGACTTCCGGCTTGTCAGCGAGATGTCAGGTTCACCTTTGCTCTGAACATGAAATTGATGTGCAAGATAAAACAATACTCCAGAAATTGCACAGGCAAAATACCCGTGGAAAACCGCAAATTTTCTTTTTTTTTTTTTGTACCTCATCAAACCTGTCGAAGGGGGCGCCCTCCTGCATGAACTCGGGCACGTGCTTCTGCCAGTTGAACTCGTACGACTTTGTCATGGCTGCTCACCTGACCTGCGACACAGGGGAGTCACACAAGTCGGACAATTAGTTGAATATATGCAAAATACAGTCGGCGAAGGACACAGAAACATCATTTCACTTCTTTTTTTGGTCAACTGTAGCGGGCCTCAAGGGGTGGGAAAACCGAATATTAGAGAACTAAACGTTGTCTCATAAACTGTGACTCCAGTCTTGATCGCGCTGACAGCTCTCGTTTATCTTCATTCCCCGGCTTTTATCGTTTAAAAAAAAAAAAAAAACTCTCCTTGACACATTGCTTTTCTGCACTGCTTCTACACTCGGAAGACTTTTAACGATCTGTCTGCCTAACCTTGTTAATGCCCCTTTTCCCATTCCAGCCTGACGCAATATCGCAGCTCTCGCTGTGAAATGCGGCGCGATTAACAGCGTGGAACATTTATTGACTCGATTTGAGCGGTGTATATCTTTATTTTTATGACTATTTCAAAATGGAGACACTCTTGCAGGGGGGGGGTCTTTGGCTCCCGCGGTCAACCATGAAAAATCCCTACTCAATACCGAATAGATGGTGTGCAGAGAGGTTTCATGCTAAAAACCAAACATTTTGCTCCTGGGGATGATGATGGGTGAGATAGCAAGTAAAACCATACAAATCCTTTGCTGTTTTTTTTTTACTATATCTTTGTTTACAGAAATAGCTGTACTTCTACTCGAATACAGACTGTACGTTTGCCACCTTTGGAGACGGTTACGACAGAAGGAAGAAACATGGGCAAACCCAGGGAGAGAGAGAGAGGTTAGTAAGAAGGGCACACGCGGGGAAAATGAGCACAGACAAGTGACAAGAGGGACAAGAGGCGAGATGCCACAAAAAAAAAAGTGGCTGGCGATCAGTCGGGGGTGAGACGGGTGAGGCAAACCGCTGCATGTGACAGAGAGTGGAAAGAGGCCAATGGGGTTTGCTCTTCATGTGGGCGATGAACACTGGCATGCCAAGAGCAGATGAAGCATCTTTTGATGTCAAGATACGACTGTTAACTCATTCCCTGCCTTGGACCTTTTTCTGTTGGCCACCTGGAAGACAACCATTTCACCGACCATTGACGTCTAATATTTTGTCGTTTGTAAACCATGGTAATGACGAACAGAAGTCGTTGCATCGCTTTGGATTTGAGATCAACAACGCCTTAATTCGAATGCGACATGAAAAACAAGCCCATTTCGCACCGGATTGAAAGCCTGTTTACCAACTCGTATTTCCTTCCCGTTTGCTTGTTTTGCATCACGGCTCCACAGCGCGCTTGGCAAGTTCATCGCGCCCGTCAACGGCAAAATAGATCAAAATGGGCCGAGTCCATCTAACCCGGCGCTCGACCATCTGTGGCATCCTACCAGGAGACCGTGAGAACAGATGAACGAGGTGTGTCGGGAGGGGGGGGGATGAAAACATAGATGCTCACTTCCTCTGCTGATTAAAGACCAAGACCGGACAGGGAGTCAGTACTGGAACCCAGAAAAACAACTTTATGTCAGTGCACTTGGCCAAAAGCATGGATTAGCATAAAATGATGAAAAATGAAAGTGCTCCGATAGTATATTTTTGGACTTTTTGGGTTATAAGCCTTAACAGTCAGGTTCGAGGACTGGTACAACCATTAGCTCGACAAGGTCCATTATTCAACACCTTAATGGATAGAAATTTGAATTTGTTTCTTTTTTTTTTTAATCGCATGTATACTATGTGATCATTTAATCATTCAAAAAAACCCCACAATATATATAACAATATATTTATGAACAGGGGAAAGCCCTCAAAATGGCATTTTATTCCGTAGTAAATCCAGTTGTGTTTTACACAGCGAGAGGAAGTATCCCGCAATTGAACAGATGGTCTTTAACATCTGATTAAATCTGTCGAATAATCCCAAATCAGATTGTAGATGGATCCTAATTTAGTCTAATTGGGTTGCGCCGTCCTGTCGGGGGGGTACTAGGCTAGATCTCCACAGAATGCGTTAGGTAATATTTTCCCTGAGAGATGACGCAAGTCCAAGAACAGCTTTGGGTTGCGGTCGTACCGCGCAGGTGAGAGACTGAGGCGGGAGCGAGTAAGGTCCGAGCACCCCCTGTCCAAAACCCTGACAAGGAGATAATTACAAAAGATAGAGAACACCCAGCGGTCCCACACCTCATAAAACAAAATGAGGCTACATCCGTCAGGCAGTGTAAAGGTTGAGAGAGGACGGGTTCAATTCACGTTAGGTGCTCAGGACACACACACACAGGGATAAAACAAGCGCACGTATGCTCAATGTCAACAGTACAGAGCGAGCTGCTAATGGCCACGTAAACCACCTCACACCTGTGTCGTGCAGGTGGGCAACTTGATGGCTTGCTTCTTAATTCTACGTTATGGGGGGCATACACGCACACACACACTGTTATTGATATTTAATATGTACACCACACATTTATCTCTCCTTTAGTTTGTCCTACATTTGCACCTCTATCTTCCTCCATGTCATCAAAAATAAAGAGAGCAAGGCCACGTAAACCACCTCACACCTGTGTCGTGCAGGTGGGCAACTTGATGGCTTGCTTCTTAATTCTACGTTATGGGGGGCATACACGCACACACACACTGTTATTGATATTTAATATGTACACCACACATTTATCTCTCCTTTAGTTTGTCCTACATTTGCACCTCTATCTTCCTCCATGTCATCAAAAATAAAGAAAGCAAGCTGGCTTCCAACATGACAAATTGCCAGACTATTACGAGTGGATGTCTATTTCGACCTAGTTCTCATATCGTGGCATAATGAATTCTGTGAGAGGAACAGTGTCTTCTCAGCGTCCGCTTTTGACCCGAACGTGCAAACTCCTTAACCCGGTGCATCAAAAATAAAAGCGCAGCTCTCGACATAAAAGAATAATATCCGTGTTCGGCTTTTTCGTCACTGTGGGAGGGGCTTTGGTGGCGTGCGCGCTTTTTCTCACCCTGGGGACGGCGCCGACACGGATACTGTTGATGAGGGAGCACTCCAGCACCTGGCCCTCCTGCGGGGAAGACGAGGAAGTGGCGAGGAAAGGTAATGACAATTAATGAGCAAGGAACCAGACATGTGTTTGTCTTAAATATTCATCCGACAGGAGCGATGTGACTGAGGGTCACGTTAACCCGAGCGCAGCTGACACCTCCAGCAAAAAGAGACTCTTATCAAGGCTACATAAAAGCTTCATTTGTGGATTTTACGTAGATGCTCGCCAGAGTTAGTACCTTTCCTTCGCTTTTCCAGGTGATAAAGAAGCCATACTCGTCCACTTTAACCTGACAATTGGGTTCAAAGATGTACGGGTCCTGAACAGAGGCAAAATAGTTCGTTCATCAATCCATCAGTGTTTAGGTTGAGTGTGTATATGTTCTCTCCCAATCGTGTAGATAGATGTTCACCTATTGTGGGTGGGCCTGGAACACAACTGTCAAAAAGTATATAAACAGGTTGCTGACGGGCTCACACATAATAACAAACGTTAACTCTCTAAAGCATCAGTCACTCAGCGGGGTGTGTCGCTTGTGGGAGAAAAGAAAAAAAAAATCCATGCTGTTTAGCATATTTGCTTGAGCGTGTGTGCGCGCGTGGGGGTGGAATTGGCGAACGCTATTTAAAATCAAGACAAGACTATCGCCTGCAGGCTTTCTAGTTTCCGAAATGCCGACTGTTTATTCACTCCAATTCACACGTAAAAATACAGACAAGGGACTTCCGGCTTGTCAGCGAGATGTCAGGTTCACCTTTGCTCTGAACATGAAATTGATGTGCAAGATAAAACAATACTCCAAAAATTGCACAGGCAAAATACCCGTGGAAAACCGCAAATTTTCTTTTTTTTTTTTTTGTACCTCATCAAACCTGTCGAAGGGGGCGCCCTCCTGCATGAACTCGGGCACGTGCTTCTGCCAGTTGAACTCGTACGACTTTGTCATGGCTGCTCACCTGACCTGCGACACAGGGGAGTCACACAAGTCGGACAATTAGTTGAATATATGCAAAATACAGTCGGCGAAGGACACAGAAACATCATTTCACTTCTTTTTTTGGTCAACTGTAGCGGGCCTCAAGGGGTGGGAAAACCGAATATTAGAGAACTAAACGTTGTCTCATAAACTGTGACTCCAGTCTTGATCGCGCTGACAGCTCTCGTTTATCTTCATTCCCCGGCTTTTATCGTTTAAAAAAAAAAAAAAAACTCTCCTTGACACATTGCTTTTCTGCACTGCTTCTACACTCGGAAGACTTTTAACGATCTGTCTGCCTAACCTTGTTAATGCCCCTTTTCCCATTCCAGCCTGACGCAATATCGCAGCTCTCGCTGTGAAATGCGGCGCGATTAACAGCGTGGAACATTTATTGACTCGATTTGAGCGGTGTATATCTTTATTTTTATGACTATTTCAAAATGGAGACACTCTTGCAGGGGGGGGGTCTTTGGCTCCCGCGGTCAACCATGAAAAATCCCTACTCAATACCGAATAGATGGTGTGCAGAGAGGTTTCATGCTAAAAACCAAACATTTTGCTCCTGGGGATGATGATGGGTGAGATAGCAAGTAAAACCATACAAATCCTTTGCTGTTTTTTTTTACTATATCTTTGTTTACAGAAATAGCTGTACTTCTACTCGAATACAGACTGTACGTTTGCCACCTTTGGAGACGGTTACGACAGAAGGAAGAAACATGGGCAAACCCAGGGAGAGAGAGAGAGGTTAGTAAGAAGGGCACACGCGGGGAAAACGAGCACAGACAAGTGACAAGAGGGACAAGAGGCGAGATGCCACAAAAAAAAAGTGGCTGGCGATCAGTCGGGGGTGAGACGGGTGAGGCAAACCGCTGCATGTGACAGAGAGTGGAAAGAGGCCAATGGGGTTTGCTCTTCATGTGGGCGATGAACACTGGCATGCCAAGAGCAGATGAAGCATCTTTTGATGTCAAGATACGACTGTTAACTCATTCCCTGCCTTGGACCTTTTTCTGTTGGCCACCTGGAAGACAACCATTTCACCGACCATTGACGTCTAATATTTTGTCGTTTGTAAACCATGGTAATGACGAACAGAAGTCGTTGCATCGCTTTGGATTTGAGATCAACAACGCCTTAATTCGAATGCGACATGAAAAACAAGCCCATTTCGCACCGGATTGAAAGCCTGTTTACCAACTCGTATTTCCTTCCCGTTTGCTTGTTTTGCATCACGGCTCCACAGCGCGCTTGGCAAGTTCATCGCGCCCGTCAACGGCAAAATAGATCAAAATGGGCCGAGTCCATCTAACCCGGCGCTCGACCATCTGTGGCATCCTACCAGGAGACCGTGAGAACAGATGAACGAGGTGTGTCGGGAGGGGGGGGATGAAAACATAGATGCTCACTTCCTCTGCTGATTAAAGACCAAGACCGGACAGGGAGTCAGTACTGGAACCCAGAAAAACAACTTTATGTCAGTGCACTTGGCCAAAAGCATGGATTAGCATAAAATGATGAAAAATGAAAGTGCTCCGATAGTATATTTTTGGACTTTTTGGGTTATAAGCCTTAACAGTCAGGTTCGAGGACTGGTACAACCATTAGCTCGACAAGGTCCATTATTCAACACCTTAATGGATAGAAATTTGAATTTGTTTCTTTTTTTTTTAATCGCATGTATACTATGTGATCATTTAATCATTCAAAAAAACCCCACAATATATATAACAATATATTTATGAACAGGGGAAAGCCCTCAAAATGGCATTTTATTCCGTAGTAAATCCAGTTGTGTTTTACACAGCGAGAGGAAGTATCCCGCAATTGAACAGATGGTCTTTAACATCTGATTAAATCTGTCGAATAATCCCAAATCAGATTGTAGATGGATCCTAATTTAGTCTAATTGGGTTGCGCCGTCCTGTCGGGGGGGTACTAGGCTAGATCTCCACAGAATGCGTTAGGTAATATTTTCCCTGAGAGATGACGCAAGTCCAAGAACAGCTTTGGGTTGCGGTCGTACCGCGCAGGTGAGAGACTGAGGCGGGAGCGAGTAAGGTCCGAGCACCCCCTGTCCAAAACCCTGACAAGGAGATAATTACAAAAGATAGAGAACACCCAGCGGTCCCACACCTCATAAAACAAAATGAGGCTACATCCGTCAGGCAGTGTAAAGGTTGAGAGAGGACGGGTTCAATTCACGTTAGGTGCTCAGGACGAGTGGCATTAAGACTCTACGGTTTCATTTCTTTCCTTTTTTTTAATTGATTCTCTGCAGCCAAATGGAACTGGAACCGATTGTTGAAAAATGCTGTCTCGAACCAACAGAGGCAAAATAAGAGTACCTTATTTGGCCACGACCAGCAGAAGCGCTGTTAAATTGATCTCGACCAGTTTGCGGTTGAAGGAACAACATGAGATGAACTCCTTTTGCTGGAAGATATTTGCCCTATTTGTAAAAACAAAAAACATGACCAAAAAAAAAAAGGGTTAGGGTTACACATATACATGAGTGACATGTCATGAAATGCTGTCAGATTTCATGTTTGGCTTGACGCATATCACCCATACGGGTCCGACGTTTACACAGGGGGAAAGGTCTTTAATCCAATCAGAGATTTTACAACTGCAATATGGCCCGTGTTCTCTGAGCAAACAGCAAATATGACAGTGGAAGCAAGGCAGCCATCTTTTTTTTTTTTTTTTTCCCCCTGGCTTATGAGTCAGTCAACAGCAGGCTGAAGGCACAGCAAAGCAAACACGGAGTCGCCCCGAACAAGGATGGAGATCCTTTCCCTGGCCCCGTGACATGAGGGTTGGGACCAAAATGATGCTGTCTGTCTGTTCAATAAAGCAATTGACGCCAGCCGGCAGCTGTGTCTTTCCTTGACCGGGGCATTAAAATATGTTCTAACTAGGGGTGGTAAGATATATGAAATTAGCTAACGATGATGACATTATTCTGGGTGGGCAATTGCAGACGTGCTCTTGCGTTGGTAATCGACACACGGCACTTGATATCTTTGTGTGAAATGACTCCAAACTTTGGACATTCAATGTCTTTACATGCTGTTAATACTTTAGAATTACAACTCATGCAATTCTTGTCAGACCCAATCTGCTTTTTTTTCCCCTGCCTTGCATTACTGCCACCATATATTTTTGGGATGTTTCAAACAGGTCAATTTGACCCTCAACATGAGAGGTTAAAAGCTCCCTTTTTTAAACATCACATTTGTTCGAGAGATTTTTAAGTACAAACGCATTAAGATCTTACTGTGTTTGTAAAAACCCCTAATCCGCATTTCAGGTCAACCTAAATCAGACTTTAAAACTGTTTAAAGGAAGATTGCCGTGATCCGAGCGAGGCCTCCCCCTTGTTTCTTTTTGCCTTTTATAGTTCACCGTCACTCACGGGTCCCCGGGTTACGTCATTCATTTGCTGTTCTAAAGAGTACCAATGTGACGAGTTCCAATGTTGCCTCAAATATCAATCATTCTTTGGCTTAGCCATATTCAAATATAGCCGTGGGGGCAAATATCCAGTAGTAATTCCCACTGGAAGATGTCAATTAGTTGGTAAAATACATCCATACAAACGCACAAGACTAGGCATGGCCTAAAGAGCGCTACATATAGACCTTACTATCCGCACGCTGCCAAATTGAGCTATCCAAAGAATTTAACACATGGCTTAATGGACGGAGCGTCTCCCTAATAAATGACGGCCTGAAGCTTTTACTGAATAGAGGATACTAAAGTGAATGTGTGTGTGTGTGTGTGTGTGTCTGCTAAGCTGAGGGCAATAACATCGGTGAAAGAACGCTTTTGAGGAGGTGGCGGGGTGAATGGGTTGAACGGGCGGTTAAATAAGGTCTGTCCTCGGGTTATTTGGGAGCACGTTGAATGTAAGCAAGCGTGGGAGTGGAAGACGAGTTCAATGACATGCATTTCATCAATATATTCGCAACTACTGTTGGATTGATGGATGCTGACCGAGGACAAAAACAGGAACACAAGAGAATGGGGGAAAAAAAAAAAAAATGCTAAATCGAGTCAAAATCCTCACAACGTGGACAGAGTGCATTTGGCTCCAAACTGCATGTCGTTTCAGGCTGCGCTGGCACACGGCGAACACACACACACACACACACACACACACACACACACACACAGATGGCCTAATATTCATACAATAATCTTTCCTGCTGGCGTGTGAGGACACCACAATCTAAATCGACAGGCTTAAATCTAATCTGAGCACGGATGCGTTTGTGCCTGACTTGGAGGTGACAAAAGGTGCCACAGGCGAGGACAACCTGCCAGCGTTGGAATTCTTTGGACAGAATACGTTAGATAACTAGGCTTTGGCCTCCAGAGTGAAAACATCAAATTATACCCAAATTACCGTGTTACATCACGCGCCGTCCACTGCTGTGAGAGACTGTGTGTGTGTGTGTGTGTGTGTCTCTCTCTCCGAAGGTCTCGGTGATAGCAGATTAGGAGGTCAAAGGTTCAGTTTGCCCAACTACACATAACTTGAGGAGGGATCTCCTGAAGCGCATTTGCCCAAACATGGTCAGAAATATTCAAAGTACAAACTAAGGACACCCCTCCCCCAAAACACACACACACACTAACCAAAGTGAACAGTGGTGTCTGAGACGCTTGCGATTTTAATTGAAAATGATTTCAACTTTCCACAATGTCGACTTTCAAGCCCTCATGACTTAACATACATAATTGGGAGCTCTGTCTTGAAAGAAACATTAAAAAATGAGCTTTTTAATGTCTTGCAAAGCAATAGATTGGTCTCTGGGGTGCCAACTCGCCAGTCAAGTGTATAACTAAACAAACAAGTTAAAAAAAAAAAAAAAGATCTGCCGATTTCTGAGAGAGGGTCTGTAAGAGAGCCATGTACCCGTTACTAACTAGTGATGTAAAATGACCTTTTACGTTTAGCATTGCTACTGCTAACCCAAACGGCCATCACCCCCCCACAATGCGATGTGGTTGATAACTGTACGAGAAAAGGCTAAGACGTTGCAGTGACTTTCGAAGTGTCATTGGACCGTATTTATTCTTAACACAGAAATGAAAAACAAGTTTCGCATGACTTCATTCTGGAGCCGGTTGAATTAGGGGAAAAACTATCTGGGTTTGAGTTTGCGAACAAGGTCATGGAATGAAATAAATGTGTAAACTGAGGCTCCACTGTACAAACATTTTCCATTCTATGACCACTTTAATACCAAGAAATGAACTATAAACTACAATGCATTCCACCTGGTCGCAGTAATGTCACATTTGAAATGTGAGCCAATGATGCGACTGCTATCCACAACATGACCCCAACGAGGGGAAACTCGCTATAAACATGCTCGTGAGTTAGAGACAGCAAAGGGGAAGACAGGAGGAGGGGGCGGGGGGAAGATGAGCTGGACAAAAATAAGGGATTTCTCCCATTGCCCAAATAAGTATGAATTGATAGAGAATATGCGCATCCCTGGTAGGCTCGGGGCTGAGGAAAATAGAACATGTCCATATAGAGAGAAGGTGGAGGAGGAGCAGCTCCGAGGTCCAGGGGTCACATGCTTCCCCCGTAATGTGAGTCTTCCGCTGGGCTCAACCTACTGTGAGAGGTCCTGAGGCCAACAAGAAGGAATCATTCCAACTGTCGCCGCCACTTGAGTCACACCTTGAAAGTTGACTCTCATTCATGGCAGCTCACTCTAAAAGGACGCGACTTGGGCAACTGGAAGGTTGCGTGAGCCGCAAGGGACAGACTTGCTATGGACCGAGCAGTACTGAGCCAAACAGAAATTAGCCCGTTTTGCGGAGGCAGTGATCTCTCGCATGAAAGAACCACTGCTCACCTCGCTTCTTTCTATTGCGGGGCTGATGCCGTCTCACGCGTTCATTACCATGATGCTGGTCATATTGGGTTGGCGATGGGGGCTGCTTGTGCTCAAGTGTCTAGACTGTAAAAGCGGAGGTTGTATTTTCATTGGCGGAGGCAACACTTCATCAGCGAACCAAACTACATTTGTCCATTTGTGTGCCGATTTTTTTTTTTTTTTTAGTCTTAATTTTGTTTTGAGGAAGAGAAAAGGGTCCTGGCAAGACAAGAACGTCTCCAATATATTTTTTTTTGTTAACTAAGATTGGATGGTGATCTCAGATGTTTGAGACAAAAAAAAAAAAAAAACCTGGTGGCTGACAAATCAAAACGGCAGCAACGAAAACATGAACTATAGAGAGCATAGATTGACCCCCCCTTCGGGGATATAAATAAAGGAGACCCTTGAGTATGAAAGCGACTATCTCATAGAAATCCTCTTTTGTAACAAGTGTTTCTCAGGCAGACAGCGAGATGAGCTGGAGGAGGAAAACCTGCCTGACAAACAAACACTTCACAGATGTTGCTCATCTCTGACACAACTGGTCGCCATAGCAACCCGGGGGCCAGTCATGGCCTTCAGTTCGCCTGCTTATAGCGGCGACATCATGCAGAAGCGCGCGCGCACACACACACACACACGCACACACACACACACACAAAACTCAGTAACATAAACACAGACAAACATTCCAGCCTGTGATCTGCACCCCAGTGTGTATTTATACTGACAGGGGGGCGACTCACAAGGCCACCGGGCCTGAACGTTCCCTTGGGCCTTGACACAATTTGCTTGACCCATCATTAGACACACATACTTAGTTATGTTTCCATCCCCACCCGTGGAGTAAACACTTCTCGTGTTTGTGCTGCTTAGTGAACGTTGTCTATTTGAATGATTGCCTTTAACGACCCCAAAATGATGCCCAGGACTTGATTCGAACCGTTTCATTGCTACATTTTATTCACGATTGGAGAGAGGGCTGTGGGGGGAGGCCGATTTTTAATTTGTACACAACTTCGCAGACCACAGTTAATATTCTTGCATTTCAAAAGTGACCAAAACGTTTTCTTGATGTACTTACCGAGCAGGGTGGGGCAGCAAAATGAGGGGAGGTATGGGGGAGGGTAAACAGCAAAGGCCAGCACTAGACCACTCTGAAAGCAGAAAAAAATCAAAATAATAAAAGGGGGTCATGGAGACAGCGAGAAGAAAATTAAATCTTTCTTGAGTGTAATCACGCTGCTGACTTCAGTCTCATGGTGTACACTTACAGTAATAATAAGGGCGCCTAGAGGGGGTTTCATGGGCACATGCGCATGCGCGCGCACACACACACCCGAGGTACAATGGTGATTACTGTTTACAAACGATGGTTCCTTCTATGCATTAGTTTACTTTGCGACATTACAAAAAGTACCAATTACTCTAAATGCATTAAAAGAAGAAGACATCTTCAATCGCCTTTGAGTCCATTTGTGAAGAGGAGATAAAGCGCTCAATAATTCCATAGCTTTTCCCAAGCAGACAGGAAGTGCTTGTGGCTGCGCGGTTGCTTGGTACAAAGATAAACGGATAAATGCAGGCAGCACAGGGCACACCACCAGAAGCAAAATGCCATTTCCATTCATTTCAATGGGGAATACTGATTTTTGATTGCATTTTTTTTTTGGGTTAGGTGAGCAGTTAGGAAACGAATGGAACTCATATATCCGCAAATATATAAATAAAGTTGAAAGTACATTTGCAAAACAAAAGCAGCATCAATGACAGCGGAACCTACACGTTGAGTGGCAATCCTGTCGAGAGCTCTCCAGCGAGGCCATCTAGATTGAGATTGCGTTAAGGACGTACTGTACCGTATAGGCGTTGACCGTATTTGGATAGGACACGACGTGTGCAATTACCATTAAAGCAGCAGTCTATGTGAGGATTTACGAGGTGTACACAGAGGCAGAGCCCCGGCGGCGTCACTTCACCATCGACAATGCCGCAAGGGATTAAAACAACCGGTGCACAAAGACTCACGCGCGCACACACGTACTCAGACACAAACGCGCACACACACACACCATATCCCACAGGTATCATGAGATGGGACACGGCGAAGTGTCATTCGCTCCCATGTTACCTGGAATAGGCTCTTCTAAATATAACGCAGCCTCACAGACAACCTGATGTTTTATGCAATCAACACAGAGCGCAGAACTTCACCAAGGCAGATAGATTTCGACCACGAGAGTAGTTTTACTGAAAATTCCTGATGTACCGAGTGATACTACTGTAGGGAGAGCTTTTTTTTTTTAAACATTAAACATGTCCACCCAATAGGGCTCAGTGGTATGGGTGAAAAATGTATCACAAAATAAATATCTTGGATCAGTCAAGATCGATAATTACTGATTTTTTTTTTGTTGTTGTTTGTATCTAATCGAAATAAAAAGAATTGGATTTAAGACAGACTACAACTATCCAGAGAAAAAAATACCATTACAAATATCTGGTAGAAAAATGAATTTTTAAGGAATGTTGTTGTGTACAAATTAACATAAGGTACTACGTTATGTTAACATCCATTAGTGGGCTCATTGCTAGAATAGGACTTGCTTAATTACATTTAGTTTTTTCTCGACGCAACACCTCCTTTTCACTCTATGTACATTTTTGTTGTAATTTTTTTAGACAATCATGCCAGGTAAATGAACAACCAAACCAACAGAAATTGTGGTTCCAACTTGGCTTCTCTGAGCTCTTTGGAGGTCAGAGAAGCCAAGGTGGCAAGGAAGGACGTTTTTACAAGTTACATCAGGGCTCGCAAAATACATTTGGTGGTCTGAATCAAAAAACATGGCCCTGTCCCTGGTGTCTGCTGGAATATCAGTTGCCCCAAACACCCCGTGGGGGGTTATTTCTCAGACATCTTCCTGTTTCATATGGCTCCTCTGGGACATAAAACGACGGCAGCGCTCTCAAAAGCAAATACCCAGGTTTTTGTCATGCAGCTGCATCCCCACAGGGCCGCTGGGAGATTTTTTTTTTTTTTTTTTTTTGGGCCAGATTGGAAATAGCGTCTTTAAGGCGGCGGAATGGAAGGGACAGTTTATTCTGGTGTGAAATCAATTAAACAGAGGAGCGCAGTGACCTCTTGAAAGGAGAATGAAACACTTTGTGCTCGAGGGGTTGAACGGGTAAAGGGTCTTTGGGGTCCAAAGGGGGCCGTTTTCCTGCTGAGATCAGTTAGATTTACAACATGATCTCTTGTTTGAGACAACTGTCACAGCCGTAAAACCTTAGTCAACTGTACACGTTTTAGTAACCTTTCAATGGTCCTAACTGTCATGCAAGAGTAAATAGAGGTAAGTCAGTCTAATAAGAATAAGTCAACGACAATAAAATACTCTTTAAACACTGCCCTCGGTTCAAAACGACGAAGACAAACATAGGACGAAGTTTCGACGCATAGGGTGGCGAGCTAGAGAAGCAGCCAGTCGACGTCTTGGTCAGACAGCGCAAACAAGAATCAAAGGCTCCACGGCATCCGAGACAAGTCATTATTGTGCAAAAAGCTGATCGATACCGGCATAGAAACCCGCAAGGATTGGAGCAAAAAAAGGAAGTAGAAACCAATCCAAACTTCCGTCACTTTGGTAGAGGTTCATCTCAGGACAGGTGGAAAGGCCCAACGTATGAAGAAATAAAGGATGTGCGTGTGATCCAAAAAACACACACGCTCATTTGTGAAGCATGGCGGAGGTTACTGTCATGCCTCGGGCTTGCATGCCTACTTCTGGAATAGGCTCACTTTATCTTTATTGATGATGGAGCTTGTGGGGAAAAAAACTAATAAAAACGTCGCTGTGTCATCGATGACACAATTTTAACAAAAGTTTAAACTAACAGATAGAAAAAAAATGCAAATAGGATAAGACTCCAAATAAAAGATGCACTTCGAGGTCTGGTTCTATGCCAAGGTTTTAGGCAAATCCACGAAGCAGCAGAAGAATCTGCAGCAAAGCCTGATCATAAGTGGAAGAAATGAATAATTATATCCGGCACGCACTTGTAAAAGCTTGTCAGGAGCCAAAGTTTCAATTCCAAGGTTGGTGTGGGGAGTTGAGACTTTTTCTGTTCTTCCACTGAGCGAGTCAGCAAGAGAACACGGATCAAATCATCACTTCCCGCACCTTGAAAAGAATGACAGTGTTTCCTTGTACAAAAATCAAGTCAGCGTCGCACCGAAAGCGTGTTTACTCATTCGTAAGTGATTAAAGGAGAGATGTGGGCCACTGCATTCGGTGTTACTAATAACCAAATGGATAGAAATGTGTTAAAAGGAGGTTAAAATGTTTAAAAAAAATGCCTAGCTGGTCAACGAAAAAAAAATGTTGAATGTGGTGGTTTGGTTCCAGAACTGATTGCTATTTCTATTATTTCCTATGGGAATTTTTGTTCAAACCCAAACAAGTGGTAGTCCTGGAATAGATTTTGTTCCGCTGTATATATCATAAAATAAACAGTGGTTACTTACTCTTTACTTTCATTGTTGTAAAAAAAAAAAGGGGTCATTTCTTTTTCTGTAAAAGAATTTCTCAAAGTAGCGTTCACGAAACGGCAGTCGCTGCGCGGCGATGCGCTTTTGATTGCGAGCACTTTTCCCAAATGATCACCGTTTGTTATGACAGCCTCCTAATAATGGATTTATACGCCGGGCCCTGATGTTTGTTTAAATGACAGCGACGAGAAGTGGCTACTGACGAATATCTGGCGCTGGCTTCGGAAATCCATTGCGCCCCCCCCTCCCCCATTTATAATCCTCAAATACGGTCCTCGGGTTTTTGTTTTACAAGCAATAAAGTTCAAAGGACGTTTGTGAAAACGCAGGCCATAAATTAGGCTCAATCCTTTACGTTGGATGAAAAGCGATGACGGCGGCTTTGGATGATGCAAGTCGATCGACTCAAACGCACCATGCGCCACATAGATGGCTAAATGTTACATAATTACGCCAATTTATCTTGCATTTAGATATTACATTAAAAAACACATTTGAAATATAACATCTCAAAAACTTGCTGGATGTACATTAATAATCTGCTCTTGCTATTTTTTTTTTTTTTTTTTGCTGACTTCTATTAAAGGGCCTTTAGCAGGCCAGATGTGTGTAATAATAGCAATCCAGCAGAGGATGGGACGCCGTCGAGTATTGCAACGTTCTGGAGCGAAGGTCGGCAGTTTAATTGGAAGAGCAAAATTCATTCACGTGTATCCCCACCGTGGACGCAGCCATGGGGGAAGATGGCGGGTGTTCACGTGTGTGTGCATGCATTGAAAAATGACTTTAAAGATCCCTTTTTCCAGGAAACGTATGACTATGACGCGATAACTTGAAGACATGATTTTAGATTATGATATACAGAGGAGGAAAGGCGTAAAACACCTGAATGCTAATCACGCCCCCGCAGGCCGCGGGGCCTTGTGCTACACATGATGTCATCATTAATACAGATTACGTAATACGCAGAGAATCACTTCCCTGCCTCATTACGGCATCCTTCTGGGAAGCTTCAACGCAGCAGCAGCCGCAGCGTCGCATGCACACCCCGCCTTGCACACGATGACGGAAACTCACAAATCTATCAAGTTTCTGTATAGGACACACAGTTCATAATTGGTATCGGACAAAATCTGATGGATGAATGAGATGTTAAAGGCAATGGGCAAAATGGTTCTAAAATGGTGGCTTCAAACCAAAATGGCAGTCTTCCTGCGTGTTTTTGGGCATGGCTTCTCGAGAATGTTTTGTGGGTCTACTCGTGATAGACTTGCCTCCCAAATTTCATGCAGCAAAGTAAGACTGTTGAGGCTGAATTTTGCCGAATCACATTTGAGTTCTGGTTTAGGCCAATCTGTCTGCCAAGGTGCTATGTAGTGCAAAGTGAGCTTGGTTGAGTCAAAGCAAAAACAAAATACAATAAATTATCCAAACAACGGCTCATATCGAGAAAAAACAAACCCACAAGTAGAGTAACTCGTATCTCAAGACACCGCAACATGAGAAATGTCATCAAAATGGTGATTTATTTGGCCTAAGAATAATGACGAAGCAGTTTCAAGAGGTAAGGCCTAATATCCAAGAAGAAAACCCTCCGGTCATTTAAAAAAAAAAAAAAAAAAAAAAAACTCACCAGTTCTGCATCAATTACATTCAGCGGGAAACGCTCATGTCTCGGCCAGCCTGCAGAGACAAAAAAGGACATACGGTAAGAAGGGGAGAGAATTTCATCAATCACGCCATTGGGGCTTATTTGGCTGCTTTACAGTCGGAAGCTCGTCGGGGAGGAGGCCGCCGGTTCCCTCCCGTCGGGGAAAACACAGCACAAATCATAACGCCTACCAGCAGCAGAGTCAGACACGCGCCTTATCAGAGCAAACAGGCAACAATGAAACCTTATCACGGATGCCTACGTGAAGAGAAAGTATGGAAGTGACTCGATGGAACTGGAAGCCGCTCACCTGAAGGACAAGCAAAGGAGGCACAGAAAACAGCAGAAGGGGAGAACAAGTCTCCTCTCATAAACGTGCCCCAATTACCAGTATGGATGGTCGACGTGAATGAATAAACACCACACCTCAAAAGGTAATGGTAATACTAAGACTGATGTTTTGCAATATGGCACCTGTAAAATTGAAAGGGGACACCAGTCTTTGCTACTTTGCTCTCTAGAGAAAGGAACATGACTTCAGCAGTGAAGCTACATCCACGGCGTGACGCCTGATGTCATAACACTGACTTCAGAGCAGACATGGCATCTATAAAACTGACATTACTCCCAAGCCTTTGTTCCAGCCTAAAGAAAAAAAAAGGCTGCCTTTTTGACGCACATGACGATTCACTCATGTGCCAAACGGCTGCAGTCTAGCACCAACCACTGGCAAGGAAGACTTAATGTCGGTGGCTGATATCAGCACACTCCCAGAATCGGAACGGGACATAGTCATTTATTTCTGTCAGCTGTTTTTCGAACAATTTGTTGTTTTGAGGTGACGGAAATAAAATGGCATCGCACACCACCCGCATGGCGCCATCTTAGGGAAGATGGTTTGACATGAAGATAAAAAAAAAAAGTTTCTGGAAAATGCTACACGAAGAGTTGGGAGCTGTTTATAGAGCAAATACACCCAGCGGCTTGCCTGTGGGTTATTACACTGAACAAATATGGAGCACTTAATCTGCCGGGTGCACGTGAACAAACACTTGTCACACCGAGCAACAGACATGTTGCCGTTGACGTTTGCTTCAGGAAATTAATCGCAACAGAGCAGAAAGGAATACAGTTTATTATAATTGAAACTTTGACTAAAACATACAGCTGTCATAACACAGTTTAGGGTTAACATACGTCTTTATAAGATTGACATTTTTTTTGAGAAATTGTGACTTTTTCCCAGTATAACTGTCATTTCATTATTTTAACATTTTCATTTAAAACCCTCCATTTTATTTCATGTTTTACGAGAATATCCCTGTGCTTTACGATGTGAAATTATGAATTATTTTTTCACAATTTAACTCTCATAATGTTACGACTTCATTCTTATAATAACAGTTTTTCCTGACAATATTATAACTTTAAATGACTAATATCTCAACGTTCAGCCTAAAAAATAAAATATTCTCTTAACACGAAGACTTTCTTCTCATATATTACATTTTTTCCCCCCTGGAAATGTTTCTTATAATAATTCAGCATTCCTCCAAAATTAGAGGTGTATTTTCTGGGAATATTGTATGTTTCATTGTTTTTAATAAAAACATATAATATTAATATTTAATAATAATATATAAGCTTTATATATATATATATATATATATATATACAGAAAGGTGTATAAATCATCTTTTAGTTCCTGTACCTCTCCAGTTTCAGGAAAACAACGCCAGGTGGGGGGGGGCAAAAACATCCTGCAGGGTTCCTCGTATGACTTTATCCTGGGAATATTATACTTTTCTCATCTTTTACTTCCTGTACCTCTCCAGTTTCAGGAAAACAACACCAGGTGGGGGTGAGGGGGGGGCAAAAACATCCTGCAGGGTTCCTCGTATTGCCTCCATGATGCTGGAGGAGAGACCTTGAGCAATGACACCTTGCATGCAGCAGTATTATATGGGACACGGACACGGACACACGCACACACAAATGCACAGCACCTCCGGTAAACAACCTGCTAAAAACAAACACTCCAGCAGCCTTTGCACGGCGGGCACCGGCTTTGTCATTGCCCGGCTGCAGTCTGCCTCTGTCCCGCTACACAGCTAGCTGTGCCTACCCCCACCGCCACTACCCTTAACAGACCGCGGAAACATCAATACTCTCCCCTCTTTTGCATTTAAAGCCCCCGCGCGCTTACACGTACACACGCATCGAAACAAATGTGTCACGTTTTTTACCTGCTAACGTTTCAAGCTCCGCGTACGCTAGCAAGTTAGCCATGAGCGAAGAACTGTGTCCAGCTGTGCGTGGAATAAATGTGACGCGAGCTATCCTAATCAAGTTTTTTTTTTTTGTATTCTTTAAAAAACACGAGCGTTGAATTGCAAAAAAAGATCTGCAAAGGATCGTTTTAAACAAGTATGAGTAGCGCTAGCTTCTTAGAAGATTCGCAAGCTTTTAATGTGTCTTTTTTTTTTTAATCCACGAAGAAGAAGGATGCTGAGTACCCAGAGGAGTCCAACAAGCAGTCCGGTGCGGCTCGTTCCCTCCCCAGCTACCTCCTCTTGGTCTCCCCGCGAGTGCTGCTGCTGGTGGTCCCGGTGCTCGTGGAGACGGAGCAGCGGACGTCCGACCCACAAGCTGCTCTTCTTTTTGTTATGCTTGATTGTGTGAGAGAGACAGGGGGAGAGAGAGAGGGAGGGAGGGAGACGGGGGGGGGGGGAAGGGGGGGGGGGGGGGTGAATGAGTGCGCGGAGAGTGAGTCATCCAGCCCAAGCACATCCAGCTCCTCCCTGCCTGTCTAATAGCTGACGAGTGGAGCCGCCGTCCCTTGATCCGGGCAAACACTAAAAGCGCCCCCCCCCCCCCCACACGCACGCACAGTAGGCTGCACATGTCACCAAAGAAATAACCAATTTCTAATGATATGCGTGGGAGCAAATGGTGACAACACTGATCATTGAAGCTTGGAAAATACAGCCCCAATAGTGAATTAGAAAATGTGCTGCATCCAGCACAGGAATGTCTTGATCCCATCGCCAGAAACTCGGTCTTAGTTATGTTCTACTACTTTGCTGTATACAGTCTTGAGTTGTTGCAGGGCACTCTCAACACATTTAAAGCAAGCTTGTCGCCCAGTGTCAGAAAGGTTGATGTATTGACTATGTTCTCGGGATGTTTTGCTGTATCCGGCGCAAGGTAGTTCGAGTCTTTTCGGGGAACAATTAAGTGGCGATAATTTCAAGGCATTCTGGATCGAAATTTGATTTCTGGGTGGTTTGCGGGTGTCTTGAGCTGATGTAGGGTTCAGTGAAATCTCGAAAGAATTCTGAAGCGAAATGAGCCACCAAAATGAGGAATGCCAGAAAACGATGTCCTAGTTATGTTGAAGCGCTGCTTTGCTGCATCGGGCCTAAATCATGATTTGGCAACAGCAATGTTCGAGATTGTAATAATATCATACAGGAGCTGCCGCAACGGCCAAAGAAAAAGTCAGTAAAAATGCAGGCCACGCCCATCACTGTGGCTGTTGAAATGACATGGAAAAAAGGCACGCGCGAAGACATTTTGGAGTTGTTGTGACCTTGAAAATAAAACGCGCGTGGTGTCGAGAAACAACAATTTGTAAGGAATTGTGCTGGAAAAGAAAAATCAATACGTAATGATTGTAACCTTTCCCGGCACTGACGTTTTGCATGCGGACAACAACAATGAGTCACTCCTCCTGCAGCACAAACTATACCATAACAAACACACGCACACACACACTTGAACGCAAATTAAAGTGACAATGTTGCGCGAGCGGCTTGACGGTGGCGCCACTAGTCAGGCAAAAATCTGCCTCTTAATAGAACATCGCAGAATATTGGCGCAGCAAACAAAAGTCAGGACAATGGCTGCAGGTTATTAGGCTGAACCAATAACACATCGCAGTCACGCAACAGGCTTGAGGACACGTCACACATAGAAAGGTACAGTACTCGCTTGTCACATTGTCACTGATGTTCTGTCGAACTGAAAATATATATATTTTTAAAGCTTTTCCTTTCAGTAAATAGTTCATCTTTCAGACTTGTGTGACTCGAAATTATTGGCTGCCAAAGTTTTTCAAGGCTCAAAAAAGTTGTGGTTTTATGAAGAAAAACAAAAAGCTTTTTTTTTTTTTTTTTGGTTTGTTCCCATTATACATTTCACATCACAATTCCCATGCTAATTCTGGTATGTTTTTTTTTTTAATTAATATATATTGCGACATGTAAATGACTGAATATATTACTATATACTAACTAGCCGCAATATTGGGCACAACTGCGCTGTGTATCACAATGCTCAGTACGTGGGGAGAACAAAGCGCATGTATGGACAAGACAAGATGTATCATGTGTGGTGCATATGTATCCACTTGTGTGTGAATGCTTGTCCTACCTTAGTAGCGGCGTGTTGAAGAGCCTCATTAACGTCCACTCCAAGGACACCTCGTTGCCATCCTCCGACTGCGTTTACGTAACATGCTCAATCTTGTTAAAACTGGTCACGCCGCTCGTTAGGGGGCGACCTGAGAAGGGGCGGAGGCTGCATATGTTGAACACAGTTTATTCTTGCGACAGCTTCCCAGATGAACCAAAAAAAAAATGTTAAGTTATGCTAATATCAAGGTTAGGGTCCCAAAATGGGCTTTGAAGGTTTCAAACGAAGCTTTTCAGACAGCAAAAGCAGACTATGATCACGGGATTTATCTGTTCCTGGGTCAAACTGTGGCCATGATAAACATTTCATGAAAAGTACAGTGAGCGTTTCAAATCACATTCTGAAATGTCATGAAATGTAAATGGGCAAGGAATGTCATACTCACCCTTCACGGTCTGCAGCATGTGCCTGGGAGGTGAGTCTCTTCATGTTGGCGGATATAAAACAACTCACTTTTTGGTGAGCTGAAAGCTCTCATCCGCTGCAGCAAACAATCCAGGCAGTGTGTTTGCAGCAGAGCTCGTCAGACAGTCTCGTTCCTCTTGGGAATTCTTTGAGAATTGTGGTTGCCAAGGCAATGGCAGGAAGTTGGTGGTTAAGGGCTTCCCCTTCTCCCCAGGCACACACACGGAACCACCACCCCCACCCCAACCATCATCAGTGCAGCAGACATAATGTACACCGCGTCACAAGTGTCCTTATGCAACTTTTGCATTCGTCACTATGGAGACTTTTATGATTCTACAGCGTTAGCATGACAGCTGGTGATCACGGAGGACCTGTCTGCCGCATTGCTTAACAGGTTCTCTTAAAGGTGAATAAACGGCAAACGCCATCTATCTATCTGTATCTATACATGGACAGTTAAAAAAAAAAAAGCAAACCAAAATTCACCCTTGGAATGTACAATCATAACAGCCACATTTATTTTTAATTACAGACAAAATTCCCTTTGTACGATACTGTTATTTGATCTACATCATATATTAGCCTCTAAAACACACACACACACACACACACACACACACACACACACACACACACACACACACACACACACACACACACACACACACAAAACAATTCCAGAGTGCATACGCGTTCAAATGCAAGAGTGGCGCCTTAAAATCAAAGTAGTCAGTCAAGACTATGCATAAATTAGTAACTTCATGAATAAAAAACACTTTTTTTTTCCTCTCTCTTCTGTGATCAAAATCATATGCTGCTCTTTCTCAAGTGTTACTCTGTCAGTAGTGGTTACCAAAGTATTCAATATTACACAGCTTATAATAGTAACAGCGGGAAAATCTTTGCAAAAAAAAAAAAAAAAAAAAAA